AGAGAGAGAGAGAGAGAGAGAGAGAGAGAGACTGTCGCGGCGGAAAATCCGCGTGGTGCGATTGGACGTGTAGGCTACTATTGCCCGCCAGTATCTAGAACCTTTAACCGTCTGAAATGGTGATCGATAGATCGTATCTGAGAAAAAGAAATGACGTGGACTATAAACGAACTATGGCCGGACTGCGTCCGGTCAATCAATGTCCAAGTTCCGACGTTGAGGGGAAAAGTCGGTATCGTCGGAGGCTCTTTTCGGTACAACAATAATCGCCACGATGGATTTATACTAGCTGTGTTAGGCAAGGTCTTTTGATACGCGAGTGGGCGGATTAGCGACCGCCCGGCTCACGAAACCGACGATGATACCGCTCAGGATCGCCTAGAATTAGGTGGGTCAACGTACGCCCGCGAATCGATGTTCGTGTGACGTAAGTACGCCGCTATTTCGCCCTTGAACATAAACTTGAAAACTGGTTTGTCCGCGAGCGAGGGAAATTTTTCGCGCGATATGTACGCAGTTGGCGCAGTGAGGAAAATGTTGGCCTATATATCTTGGCGAAGTTAGCACACCATTTCCAGAACTTTGACATAATAGATTTCTATCAATCATATCGCAATCCTGAAGATGGGTTATTTCAAACTTCACTTCAGGTGGTTTGCGCGAGTTACAAAAGAAGCTATAGTCATGAAAGTAAGTAAATTATTAGAATCTAATTATTGCATATATTGTATGGTATGATAATATTTTGTTTGAAAAATTGTTTGTTGATAAATAAATGGAAAGTAAGAAATGTTTCGCTCTAGTTGACGTAAGAAAATTTTGAATTACGCTGGCACATTGTGAGACTCTCAGCCTTGAACAAAGTTAGAGACGTAAGTCCTCTCATATCTCTATAGGTAGCGAGAATCTGCCTGTAAGTACTTTGGGTGCTTAAATTGGGCACAGTCATTAGTTACATAAGAGTTGGCTCAAGTAATTGAGAGATTTAAAGCTTAAAACTTTGAGCTATAAAAAGCAATGTTCAAAAATGTATATATTTCTTTCTCAGATAATTTTCACGGTCATTGTTTTCTAAGGAGCTACAACGGCACAAAGCAAACATATAGAGACACGATAAGTACTTCTGTAAAAATGAGTATAATTAAATATAAACGTGCGAAGAATCCTATCTTAATCAATCTCATATTATAATTTCAGAGGCATATTACGTGACCCTGGGATTACAACACGATCATGAATTTAAGGCAAAAGCGTTGCAGCGTAAAATAATTGTACTTTAACAAAAAACTCTTTAATTATCCAGGTGACAGGATCGGCTGTCAATAACACGTTAATAACGTTAAGCCAACATTGCTCTTTTTAGACAATTATTTTTGTCATGAGGAACAGACCTTTAATTGATCTTTGGATGATACGGTCAACTATCAATTACATGGTCAACGACTAGGCTCGCGTTCGCCCTCAACGTTCACGCACCCCCGAGCATCTACGTCGGCTCGCGAGTGGGTGTCACGAATGGGGTTTGTCGGGAAGGGGGGGGAGCCGGCAGATTCTGGTGGGGATGGAATAAAATCTCCGAGTGTACGGGGAGGCAGTCCAGTCAAACCAGTCAGTCGACCGAGCGACGCGGGTAGCGACGGTCGATCGTCGTCGACTCCCATTTCCATCGACTCCGCTCTCAAAACACGTAGAAAGCCCAGCGAGGGTTAGCTAGAGGAAGGCGGAGGGGGTTGGTGATCATGCGTACGTAGGGAGGAGTAATCTCGCGTCGAGTACGATGCCGCGAAAATTCTCGCTCCAAACAACCCTACGACGACGACCAACGCGTATCTCGATCGGCTCGCACCCCTATCGACGCGTCGCGCTTTCGATCGTGAGAAAAAAAGGGAAAAGCGGCCAATCTCCTCGACTATTCTCGACCTATCGGTGCCCTCGCTGGAAGGGATTCGCCGGCGCGATCAGTCGGCAGAGAGACGAAAAAAGGGAACAGTTCCTGGGAGAGTTTGCCACCCTCGGCTGATGTAGCGAGTAAGTAACAACATCATAAACCCGAATGAAAAGCTCCCACCCGCTCTTGACCACGGGCTCTCGCGTGGACCGAGAAGGAAGGATGGACGTCCACGTGTGCGTGACGCGTAGATCGCGAGTCGCGTTTGTTTACGGATCTGTTGCACCAACAGCACTACAGTTCTGTTCAAGTGGCTCTGATTGATCAATTCCAGCTCTCTACCTACATCACAATACCCTAATGCTGTTGTTAGGTAAAGTTAACTTAAATTGTACGAGTAAAGCCAACTTCGCCCCTTTGTAAATAGAAATTGGGGAAAACGTGAATTTTCGCCTCGTTACTTTTTAATCGTACTACAATAAATTTCCACGTGCAGATATCGAGAGAATTGCACTGCAAGCGTCCGTTTTAATAAACCTAAATTCCTCTCTTTTTCTCCCTCTTTCTCCGAGCCGTG